TCCTCCACAAACAGCTTTCTTGTTCTTCAGTGTGAGGTCAGTTCAGGTCCTGAGGGTGAGGGTGGGCCACACTCCTCAGGTGCTTTCCCATGTAGTGGAACGCACGGGGAATCCTGAATCCCTTCAATAGGGGGCCGATGGGGGGATTAAGGGAGTCAGTAAGGCAATGGGAGGCTTCCTGCGGAGGGAAGGGTCGTGGTGTCCTCAGCCCTGTTCCACCGCTGCCCTCCCCACTCCAGGGTCCGGGTTCCTGTCTAGCCGCCTCACTACCTCCAGTCCACCACCTCTGAGCCTTCTAACTTTCAGCCGCCAGAAACAGTCCCTTCTTTGCCGTTCCTCAGTCTTCTCACCTGACTTTCTGGATTTCTGCTTCCCCTCCCTGCACACTGAAGCCACAGCCCAGCTCAGACCCTCCCGCGCTCTGCATCATAGGAGGGACAGCATCCCAATGCCTCAGTTGCAGACGAGCCCTCTGTGGGCTTGTTGGCTCACCCACATTTTACCCTGTCCAGCCACGTCTAGCCCTGTTCATTGGAGATGGCTGAGAATGTCCTCCCTCCACGTCTGCCTGCCACATGCCCAAGGCTAAAGTCGAGCCCAGCTGCCTCTAGCGTCCCTGCCAGCTGTGATCTCCCTCCCAGCCCCCCCAGGTAGCATTCGTGATTTATCCATGAAACACTCACCAGTCCTCAGACAGCACCAGGGACAGGGACACTCGACAAGCCACTCAGTGAGTGAATGAGTGAAGGATGGATGATGGAATGATGTGTGTCTGGAGCACAGGATATATTTCTGTACAACACATTTTTGTCCTTATCTCTGTTTCTATCACCTGCACAGGACTTGACCCACAGAGGTAGGCTTAAGAAATACTTTTATATTTGAATGATGTGGTTTTAAGTTTTAAAATGAATAAAATAGAAGGAAATACACTGAGAGTAAATATAGTCTCGAGCTAGAAATGGAGCTTAGGAATGCTCTCCGGGTTTTCTAGTGGCAGCGACATGATTTGCAGGCAATGTTTAGGAAGACTTTGTCATGCTGGGATAGACAGACCAGTGCTGGAGAAGGAGTTTCAGGGAGAAGCTTTTTCTTAAAGCCTGTTCTGTGTAAGTGAACTCACCATTTGAAAAAGTCACATAATTATTTCTTTGAACAAACTTTGTTTCCTACTAAGAATTTGTATTGTTTTGCCTGTTTGTATGTCACAGGACAATTTCTGATGCCACGATGATTTCCACCGCAGCCATTCTGGAGTTTTCCTCTCCAGCTCACAGCTATTCAAGTGTGTTTTATATTTCACATACCAGGAGTCTTTCAAATGTTGTGCGTTATATAATAATTATTGCGCTTTCTCTCTCCAAGACAGGGTACTGTTCACATTTTTGTGTTTTCGGACAATATTGTGCTAAGTGGATTACAGGACTATGCATAAAGATCCCAAGGTATGTACAGAATTTGCCAAACGGGGAAAATAGACATAGATGTGTGAACACTATATAATACGGTAAAAATTTCATTGGGCAAGACAGAAAAATGTATGATATGACACACACTGTTGTAAAACTTTCTTCAAAGGGCTACCTTAACCTCTCCCTTATGTGCCTTGAAAGGTAGGACTTGCAGGTCATCTGTATTAACACCACGCCAAAAATTTCAATGATTCATCTCTATGTAGGGACTGGTGAATTAAATAACGGGAACGGTAGTGTGCAGCATTGAGGATGTGTGGGGAGAGAGAAATCTACTGTTTACTATTCGTGATAACTGAGAAAAGCAAACAGCTGCAGGGGAATTTAGTGGAGAATATCTAATTTTGATAATTCATATCCCTAAAGTGAGGAAAATATGTGAATATACTGAAGGGTGGAACATGCACTGACAGTGAATTCAGGCTGCCTATTTGAAGAAGCAGAGGGAGCAAAGTCTCCATGGGGTGCTCTGGAATGCCACCTTCCTTTTGTACAGAGACACCCACACCAGGTGCCTGACTTTCCCACAAGTACCAACATCTAAGGGCACATCTGAAGACGCCACATATGAACATCTAGCTCTCAAATATCAGAGGGTTGACCAGAGACTTCCCTTATTTCTCTCTTCCAATTACCACACAGGACGTCTCACCTTGATCCTCCAGAGAAGGGCAGGAAAGCGTGGCTGTGTTGAGCAGAACCCGGTGCAAAACGGGAAGGGTCAAACACCTGCAGAGAGAGCGCCAGAGCCAGGATAGGTAAGGATCCAGCCCCTACTTGCCACCCACGAGGGGACAGGACTCCCAGAGGTGGAAGCAGGAGAAGGTATTGGTCTTGAGACATCACCCCACTTCCTCCTCTCAGGGACCACATACCTCTGGGTTGGGCCACACTTTTGGGTTGTGGTGAAGGCCATAAATGGAGAGCATGACCGTGATACCTGTGGTGCAGGTTGAAAACAGAGAGAAGTTTTGATCATTCTCCCGGGGTGGCCTGGTACAAAAGAAGGCCCAAAAGGCCTACTTTCCACAAATTGTCACTTTGACTGGGATGATTCTGCCATTATGCAGGTGGGTTAGGCTTGACAAAGCATGTGAGTTCAGATGATGAATAGACAACCATTTATGCAGGAATGAGAAGCAAGAAAGAATCAGAGCATTACTCTTTAGAGTAAGTTCAGGGACATTTCACATTCATCAAATATCCTCCAAGGTCTGTTGGAGAATATACATGAACTCACTCAATATAACAACGCTCCAAAGAAGACATTCTTTTGCTCTCAGTTTTCAGGGGAGATACCTGAGTCTCAAAGAGACCAATTGTCTTGTCTATGTTCACACAACTAAGTTATGGCAGGACTGGGACCAGAACCCGGGGAGTTGCGCCTTGGTGGCCCCAGATCTGGTCATCAGCTGCTCTCTGCCATCAACCTGAGAGTTCCTCAGAGACTGGACAACAGCTGACCCGGGAAATGAGATTCCTGATCAGCCTCTTTTGCACTGATCCCATGAGGAAAGAAACACATCCCTCTCTGCCCTTGTCTGATTCTCTTTCCAGCCCCGCACATCTCAAGGAGTAGAATTTTAGAGTTACTGACCCAAGGCCACATTCGGAGATTAACATTTATTTCTTGAACTTTTGGTGGGTTCAAGCTCTCGGCCAGACATTTCAAATTGTTAATCCTAAATACAAAGTATGTTTTTGATTTTTTTTAATACAAAAGGGAGACCCAGAGATGTGCAGAGCTCTGAAGCACACATGGATTTCTGACCCACCACATGTCCCTGTGGAGAGTTTAGGTGAGAGGGTGGGGGAAGTTCATACCTTTGGGCAAGGAGCGCCCATCAGGGAAAGTGACGGGAGTGCTGAGCTCTCTGCCAATGCCTGGCACCGGTGGGTAGAGTCTCAGTGCCTCCTTAATGCACATGGTGGTGTAGGGCATCTGGTCCAGGTGGTTCCTGAAACAAGCCCATCCTGAACATCAGCAAGGCCCGGGCAGACCAGGGGCTTCCCCTGTAGAGAAGGCATGGAACCCCATCTTTTGAGCCCTCGCTCACCAGGTGATGGAGGCTCCATCACCCAGGAGGCCATGGATCTCTTCCCGGCACCTCTCCTGATGCTTGGGGTGTGTGGCCAGAGCATACAGAATCCAGGAGATCCCACTGGCTGTGGTGTCGTGGCCCTCGAACATGAACGTGTCCACTTCAGCACGGAGGTCCTTGTCTGACAAGATGCTCCCATTCTCCATCTGGGAAGACCGTGGTGAAAGTGCAGGGCTGTACTTGCTCTGTACTTCTGGGCAAAGACTCATGCTCTGTACTTCTGGGCAAAGACTCAGGCCTCTCCTACACATACTCACTTTGGCCAAAAGGAGGATGTCCAGGAAATCCAAGTGCTTCTTCCTCTTGACCTTCTCCAGCTCCCCCTCCTTCTGTAGTTGAGCCTTCCTCAGTTGGATCACTTGGTCTGTACCAGAACAACGGTTACCAGGCAGAGTTGAGACCATCAGCAGCCCCCAGGAGGCCTAGCTGCCCAAGTGCCCCCATGTGGGTGTCTGGTAGATCTCAGGATGAATGTGAGTGTGGGTGCAGGGTCAGGGGTGGAAGCTCTAGTACTGTGTGAGGCAGGGCACCCCTTCCTCCAGTGGCACAGTTCATGGAGGCCCCGTTTGAATGCTGTTTGGACAGGGTCTCATTCAGTTACCTCCATGTGGGGACATTGATAAACTAAGGCACAGAATCTGGCCCCTCACATCTCAGCTCTCAGCCCCTGAGCAAGGGAATTCCCCAGACTGAGTGTGTTCTGGCTTCTGCAGGGTTCCTAGGGACCTTCTCTGCCTGAGGAGTCAGGGCAGGTTCTTCCACTGTGCCTGGGAAAGGCCGGGAGACAAGAGGAAGAGACAGAACCTGTGTGCTGATGGGCGAGCTGGCAGGCGCGGTGTGTCCAGCGGCCAGTAGAGGTCAGGCTGTAGATGGTGTCATTCTGGTGAAAGGCATTCCGTGCTCGGGAAAAAGACAGGTTGTTCAGGTCACTAATGGCCTGGATGTAGGACTGAGAATCCCTGAGGGAGAGTATGAAGAAGAGACCATAGTAGGGGTGGGCCCATTACCCGGAAGTAGAATGGGGTCTGAGAGGAGGCAGCCTCAGATAATGGGGACAAGCAGCCTTGAGGCAATGTTTCTTCGGTCTTACAGCCCTATTATCCTTTGGCCTTTATCAGATGGTATGAACAACCAGGGTCCACCTGTGCTAGGAATTAGGCATCTGTTCTTGAGACTTTGTTTGGTCTGGACTGGAATTAGAGTTTGGTCAGAGACTGACTCTTCCTTTGTGTGGAGGTGAGCCTTCACGCTCCCCCACCTGCCCCTCAGGTATGTGCACTCCGCTTGATAAGAACAAGGGCCCTGCAACTGGGGGGTTAGCACTGACCTGTCCACCTGGATGCTGCCCTGGTGGCTGAAGGCACACTTCATGATGGTGTCCAGGGTCATCAAGGAGACGTGCTGAAAGACCTCCAGAGGGGAATCCTGGCCAAGGAGCTTTTCCCATTTGTCCTGTGGTGGGAGGGGGCATGAACCTTCTTAATCTCCAAGAAGTGCTTTGCTAATAAGGCCTGGCTTTTTCTGTACCTGCAGATATCTTGTTTTTTCCTGTAGCTTGCAGATATCTTGGTTGGGATTCCTCCCTTTACAGAGCAGATGCGTTGTAGAAACTGGGACTGTAAAGCCAGTGTTGGTAAACTGACCCCTAATTCTCATGCACTTTTACTACAACATTAAACAGATCCTCTCGCAATAGCATGGATTAAGTATTGAATTTTGAGATTCAGTTAGGAGATATGGTTGTGAAAATTTTGTTGTTATTGTTGTTGTGGGATAAATAATGGGGGACTCTTCAGTGTTCTGAGAGCTGAGCTAGTTCTGAGGGACTAGTAGGAAAGTTTCAGTGCCAAAGATAGCTTAAGGGGCTAGTATGGGCATTCTGTTGTAGAGAAAACAGGGACTTCAATTCTTTTCCATTCATCAAAATTTGCTGGGCACAGTTGGGTGAGAAATCAGAGTCCTGATCGGAGATGATGCTATGGCAGATATTGCTCTGAGAACATAGACCTGGTGTTCATTTCCTTCCAAGGGTGGTTTAAATCCATGCAGAAACCTGGGGCCCCAGGCTAGAGCCCGGGTGAGTGACATCTTGGTCTGTCCATGCTGCCACTGAGGCTGCCATTGCCCAGGCCAGCCAGCATAGGAAGTCCTGCTGTCCAACAAGATTGCACACTCCTCCAGTCCCTTGTGCTGAAGGTTTCAAAGTGGGAGGAGAAGGGCCTTGTGTTCACCACGAACCTCTATTCCTATGGTGGGGAACAAAGTGTGGATCTGACCTGATGTCTGGGTGTTCTCCTACTTTATACAACTCTGGGGAACCCTCTACTGTCACAGCAATGACATGAGAGTGTTGTTCCATGTGTCTATGTCTATAGCCGCCTGTGGGACACAGGGTTGAGAGTGGAGTTCGTGAGAGTGTGTGCTGTGAGTGGGTGTGGGGAGAGCAGAGAGACACGGACTCACCAGCATCACTCGTACAGAGTCTGCCATGAGCCCCACGTAGGGCTTCAGGATGTCATAGTGGAAGGCTGGGGTCAGCATCCGTCGGTGCTGGAACCATGTCTGCCCATTCAACAGGAGCAAGCCATACCCTAAGGTAGACATGAATGTGTGTATGTGTGTGTGTCGGGGGCTGCAGGGACCTAGGGATGACTGGTGACAATTTGGGAGAGAGAAAGGTGGCTTCTTGGGGAGAGGACTATCCAGAAGAAGCCACATCATGGGCAAATGCAGGAAAAGGAGGTATGTTTCAGGCATGTGAATTTTCTGATTGAGCTGCTACATCCATGTGATTATGATAGCTATGAGATAAAGGTTGAAAAGGGTTGTGGGCAGATGTAAAATAAACATGAGGCCAAGGATATCTGGAGAGAACTGAGACATGAAATGGAAGAAGCTGAGCCTCAGGAAGGTTTGCACCAGCATTAGGAAGAGGTGAGGGTCTTGTTAGAAGAATGAAATGAGGCTTGATTTGGGGATGGGGTCATGATAGTGGTGGCCCCTAATCTGTTGTTCTCTGTGAGCCAAAGAAATAACTCAAACCTAACTAAGGAGTGGGCTGCAGCCCTAGTTTGCACACATACCAATCCATGGAGCCAGGAATCTGTAGGGATCTTGGGATTTCGGGTCTGAAAGGTAAGAAAGGGCTTTATAGGAAACTAGGAGCTACTAAGCAAGGCAGTCTCAGAGGCAGCCATCAGTTCTTGGTGTCTGTCAGTTGGCAGTTTGACCCATGTCATCTCCCACTTCTATTTCTATCCTGAAGGTCAGTGTGAGCTCAGGAAGACAGACTCAGTGTTCCATCAGGAAAACACCCAGAGGGCTAGGAAGGTGAACTGGTGAGACACATAGGCTAGGTCTTCAATGACAATGAATAATATGGAGCCCTGGGATTTTCTACATTGATATTTTCCTAGTCACCTGCATACCAGGACAGGCAACAATTAGAGCTTCGAAACCCAAGTCAATGTGAGTATGAAATTTGTTTTACAGATCTGGGGCAATTTACATTTCAGAGAACCTCAATTTTCTTAATAGAGAAATAGAAAAAAGAATAGAAAATTCAGCCCCATATACAGTTTTAAACATTCACTATTCAGTAAATATTTTTGACTACAGCCTGGGCATGGTGGGCTTGGTGGATGCATGGGAGAGGTTTCAGATATTGATGTTTGAACAGCCATTCTCTTCTGGAATTTTAACACATGACCCAGGGGCATGTGTCAAGAGGGAAGAGACATTGCAGTTGGGATGGGAGTTCTATCTCACCTGATCTCCCCAGAATCACCTTCATATAGTCAGGGTCATGGAGCTGGACACGAGCTTTGCCTCCCCATAGCCAAAGAGGACAGGCACTTGGGAACATCTCCACCCATTTCCGAATCCTTTGTAGCTCCTGGTCCTGTTGGAACTGTCAACGAGGGTAGACAGATGAACACTTTCATTTACTTCTAGTCTTTGCAGCAAGAGTGAAGGGCAGGACAACCACAGGAGCCATGTAGCAGAGGTTATGGATTTAGATCAATTTCTGATGACTTGAGCTGTAATCCAGATTCTTGTTCTCTCCCCAGGACTTGACATTAGGCCAAGTGCTATGAGCCCTCACTCAATACTGCCAGCAGAAATTTAAGTCAGCCATTGTCTTCATGTTGTGTACAATCTCTGGAAGTCCTAAATACAACAATTTCCATGGGCTATGTGCATAACTCATATTACTTGATAAGTAGATTTGTAAAATGATTTAGTATATTTAGAGAATAAAATGAATTAATGCAAACATTTAAAATTACACAATAATTTTATATAATCATACTTGTTATATTTTCAATATTATCCCAGCATATATGGTAAATATTTGTTAAGATAAAATAGAATTTGGGATGTGTATGGCTAAGCAAAAAAAGACTAACTATAAAATTGTGTGCATAATAGTATTCTACATGTTGAAAATGTGCAGATTTATGGGATAGAGTCTGGGTATATGCATATGGTGCTGGTGTTGGACTATAATTTTGAGATTTGAGTTTCTTATTTGTATTTTCATTTATCAATGAATTATGAGCTCCCTGCTGCCTGCAGTCATCTTTCTAAACTCTTCGATGTGGATCACAAAGCCCTTGGCTTTCTGGCTTCAACTTCTCTTTTCTTGCCTCCAGCCCTGCTGGCAATTCCATCATCACCTGTTTGTTTCAGCTCCAATGCCAATGCCACCACTGCTGCTGATTCACACACCTGCTCACTCTTCTGGGCCCTGGCACTTGCTCTTTTCTCTACCTTAAATGCCCTTTCCCTCTGCCACAGAGCAGCCACCTCTCTTCAGCTTTCAAGACTCAGCTTTGCTTTAATCTCATCTGGAACCCTCATAGACATTGCGTCCTAGTGATGTTCCATGTAGCCAACTCTTCTTTATTTCAACTGCTTCTAGTAACTCAAAGCAACTGTCTACCACATAAGTATCTAATGTCTGCCCACCTCCTTCTGACAATCATATTCTCCAGCTCTGAGGCAGCTTGCCCTACTGTGGGACAGGCTCCTTCATTCAGCACACGCTTACTGCGCACGCACTATGTGCCCAGTGTGGTTTAGGCACTGCATTAGGACACAGCTGTAGTCCTTATCTGTGTGGAATTTTCAGTCTAGTTGGGGGGTAAGGAAGATTAGAGGCTGTGCAGTAGGGGATAATGGACATGAGATGGAAGGAAGGATAAGCATCTGGGGAAGCTTTGAAAAGGGACCTAACTCAGAACTGAACATTAGAAAACTCTTCCTCACTCATTGAGTCATCATCTACTGAGGGACTATTGGGTTACAAAGATAAATCTGAGATGGTCTCTCCCAGAAGAAGCCCACACTTATGACACTGCAGAAAAATAATCGAGTCAAGTTAACACTGCTCTGGCCTCTTGAGAAGGATAGCCCATAGAAAAAAGAGTTGGCCCTTCACTACTGGGAGGCCCAGGAGGCCTTCTTGAAGGAGGTAGCTTGGTGCTGGGCCTTGACAGATAGATACGAGTGAGAAGATAATTCCAGGTAGAAAGCACAGTGTGATCAGAGGCCTAGAGGTTGAAATGCATAGGCAGGTAGTGAGGTAGTGAGTAACATATGGTGAAGGAGGAGAATGGGAAAGAAGGCAAAGTGGTATTGGGACCAGTCCATATAGGGCTTGAACACTGTCAGGTCCCCACATAGGTTCTGCTCTGCTGAGAACTATGTTGCCTCCTTTGCTGAGAAACAACAGGCCTCAGCTCCCTGCAACCTCTATCTCCACTTAAGTGTGTTCAATTCATAGCACCTTGGTGAGTCCCTCTCCATGCAGCCCCTTACCTTGCTCTGTTCCTACCTGCCCCCCTCCCCATGCAGGGATAGTAGTGCACAGGGGATGGGCTGTGTCCCTCCTCAGCCCATCTTGCTGCTCCTTTCTCTTCTTCCTGTGTTCCTCTATACCTGGCATGTCCAATCTTTTGGCTCTCCTTCTCCTAGGCCACATTGGAAGAAAAGGAATTGTCTTTGGCCAAACATAAAATACACTAACACTAATGATAGCTGATGAGCTCAAACAAATTGCAAAATAATCTCATAATGTTTTAAGAAAGTTTATGAATTTGTGTTGGGCCACCCTCAAAGCCATCCTCAGCTACACACAGCCCCACGGGACATGGGTTGGACAAGCTTGCTCTACACACCTGAGCTAACCATCAAGGTGTGCCAGGATTTTGCTGATTGCTGGGGCACAGGGAGGGGATGATATGCTCACATGCAGGGAGCTCACAGTCCGGGTGTGTGGGAGGAGAGCCAGGAGGTCAACAGACACTGTTCAATGTGCAACTCAGACACCAGTCTCCTCACCTGGAGAACATTGTGCAGGCTGCCCCCTTCATGTGTACCCACAATTGTCAGGTTTTCAGGTCCTAAATCATGTGTTGTGGAAATTCCGTGAGTCTTGGGGAAACTTACTTAGCCAGTTGGTTCCCTACACCAGCAGATCTCTGCCTCGGATATCCACCCCAGCAGAGTGAGCTCTTTTCCTACAGTCTGGCACCTTCTCAAATTCCTGCCTGTATTCTTCACAGACCATGAACTCCTCATGGCACGGATTCCTCAGATGGGTGTCTGTGCTCCCAGGCAAACGCAGGGCCAGGCAGAGAGGATGGCATTGAGTGACTGGGCAGGGAGCATCTAGAAGCCTTGTTCTTTAAGAAAAGCCAAGGCTCATGGAGTAATCAGCCTGGAGACAATCAGGCATTGCCCTCCACGTGCAGGACTGCCAAGACACACTTGATATCTGCAGAAGGAGGGCATGGGTGATAGAGCTGAGGACCAGCAGGATGGGCTTCATGGGACGAGTGAGCTCGTCATGACTGGGACAAGCTGACACCAGAGAGGTAGGCTGGGTGTTCCTTTGAGGCCTCATGTTTGTTACAAAACAAGGCTTTTCTCTATGGATTGTGACCAGGGTCTCAGAGCCCCATCCCTCTTTGCCCTCCCACTCCCCCATTGAGTTCCTCCTTACCTCCTGTTTGTGCCCGAAGAGCCAGTGGGAGGGAGGGCACGGGAACTGCTGGAAGGCTTTGAGCAGCCACTGCCTGTGCAGGTAGAGCTGAGCAGCCTTGATCAGCAGCAGAAGCAGAATGAGCAGGGAGGCCACTTGGAGGATCCCAGAGACACCACCCAGGAGTCTGCTGGGGCTCAGCACAGAGACACTCATGGTGTAGCACCTGCTGGATCTCTGAGTGCCCCTACCTCTCCCTGCCCACCCCTGTCCAACTGTGCTGAAGTCCTGGGAGGATTGTCCCGCCCACTTGTGGGGAGAGTGAAGGGGGAGGGCAGAACTTGGACCTCAGGGTTCATAATCGATTGACTATGGATCCTAGTTCCTAAGATCCATAGATTCCTAGGGGAACAGTGGAAGAAAAGCTTCATCAGCTGTCTACCACATTCCCCTGTCCATGTACCTCACAAATATTTAATGAGCATTTACTGTGTGCCAGGCAGTATGCTTGGTGTGTGGGCACCGCTGCAAGGAAAACAGACTTGAATGCTGACCTCAAGGAATTTACATTCTGCTTTACTACATTGCAATAATGTTCATTCAGTGGCACTTGTTTTCTGTTATACATTAAAAGAAAATTCTCAATATGATATGTACATTTAAACTTAACATTAACCAAGTCCTGAATCTTTACTTTTGTCTTATTTAAATCTAATTTTATTTACCATAAAAACCACTTCCATCTATATATTGAGTGAGGAGTGGGAATTACGTCTTTCTATTAACTGGATGATGATATGGGCAAACAGATGCTAATATGGCAGCTGTTCAAGTACTTTATTTTATTCCATTGGGGAGATTGGTCTCATAACATCCATAGCATGATTTTTTTCTCAGTTCACATACATGACAATTAAAAAAATTCTACATAATGTTAGTTATGATTCTTTTCCCCTATTGATAGGTCTACCTTCTTTACCAGAGAAAGTCCTAGGGCAATTTTAAGTCCTACTTCTGTCTAGTACTATAGCCACAGCAGGAGCATGTTTATCAATTCTCTTTCATCCTAAATAGTACACAATTACACAATCAGAACTTTGCACTCTGTTCAGGAGCCCTGGCTACTTTGTTGAGAACAATCTGTAGTGAACAGAAATTAATATTTAAAAAATCATTGCTTTGCCAACCTCAAGTAAAGTAGGTTAAATAGTAACTATTGCTATGAATTAACCCTCCCTGGCATTTTTACATGCATATCTGTGCATGAGCATTCTTTTTTTTCATCTTTTCATAATTTAAACTTTTATTTTAGATTCAGGTATGTATGCAGGTTTTTTACACTGTTATATTGTGTGATGCCAAGGGTTTGGATACAAATGATTCTGCCACTCAGGTAGTGAGTATGGCATATATTAGTCAAACTTTCAATGCTTACTCATATCTGTACCTACCCCTCTAGTAGTCTCCAGTGTCTATTGTTCCCATATTTATGTCCATAAGTACCCAACACGTAGTTCCCACTTATAAGTGAGAACATGTGGTATTTGGTTTTCTGTTGCCGTGTTAATTTGCTTAGGATGATTGCATCCCAATTCATCCATGTTGCTGCAAAGAACATGATTTCATTACTTTTTACAGCTGCCTAGTATTCCACTCTGTATATGTATCACATTTTCTTTATCCAGTCCACCATTGATGGACACCAAGCTTGATTCCATGTCTTTGCTATTGTGAATAGTGCTGTGATGAATGTACGAGGGGAGGTGTCTTTTGGTAGAACAACTTATTTTCTTTTGGATATATAGCTAACATTGGGATTGCTGGGTCAAATGGTAGTTCTATTTTAAGTTCCTTGAGAACTCTCCAAACTACTTTCCACAGTGGCAGAACTAATTTACATTTCCAGGAATAATGTATACACATTAAGTTTTTTTTCTGCAGCCTAGACAGCATATGTTGATTTGAAACTTTTTTTAAAATTTTTATTTTTTAAAATTATACTTTAAGTTCTAGGGTACCTGTGCACAACGTGCAGCTTTGTTACATATGTATAAATGTGCCATGTTGGTATGCTGCACCCATGAACTAGTCATTTACATTAGGTATATCTCTTAATGCTATCCTTCCCCCGCTCCCTCCCCACAATGGGACCCAGTGTGTGATGTTGCCATTCCTGTGTCCCAGTGATCTCATTGTTCAATTCCCACCTATGAGTGAGAACACGCGGTATTTGGTTTTCTGTTCTTGTGATAGTTTGCTGAGAATGATGGTTTCCAGCTGCATCCATGTCCCTACAAAGGACACGAACTCATCCTTTTTTTTGACTGCATAGTATTCCATGGGGGTACATGTGCCACATTTTCTTAATCCAGTCTGTCACTGATGGACATTTGGGTTGATTCCAAGTCTTTGCTATTGTAAATAGTGCTGCAATAAACATACATGTGCATGTGTCTTTTTAGCAGCATGATTTATAATCCTTTGGGTATATACCCAGTAATGGGATGGCTGGGTCAAA